ATTTCACAATCTTTGTCATTGTGGAAGGATAAGTTATGGAGAAACATACTTTATATGGCTGCTATTATTGATTTCAAGCTTCTCACGTCGACAAGGTATGGAGATATTTTTAGGGCATCTGGGTTGAATAGGTATTTTAAATAATCATGATCATCTTTGACATTTAGCAATAAAGTTAATGTATTCCTTAAGTTAAAAGGTTGTTATGGATAACAATGGTATGCTTAAAAAACTTGTATATATCAAACATGTGGGCTGAAATCAGTGCCAATTTCTTGCAAGATAGTAGAAGATAAGTCATTGAGGGCCAAGCTTTTGCTCTCTTCCTATGCAGGTAAACTAAATATAATTGTCTATAAAAGCTTTCACTTTTATTAATTTATATGAGTTCAAAACCAACATATCCAAACAAACCATGGCTTCCTCCTTCACTCACTTCTTTCTTTTAAGCTTGATTTTCTTGAAGACCTCGTTCTTTCAACTATCCTCACATTAACAATTGTGTCGTAACGATGCGTATCTTGCTCTAATGCAATTTAGAGACAGCTTTGTCATTGAAAGGCACGCCTCTACAAATCCATCTACTTATCCTAGAGTCGATCCCTGGAAATCTCAAGGGGTTGATTGCTGCTCATGGGAGGGCATATGGTGTGACCAAACCACTTCTCATGTCATAGGCCTTGATCTCAGTAGTAGTTGTCTTTTAGGTTCCATCAATTCTAGTAGTAGCCTCTTCCACCTTAGACACCTTCAAGACCTCAACTTCGCACTTGATGCACTAAAATTACCCTAACAAATGTACTAGTTGCTCTAAATAATATAATGATGAGAAGAGTATCGAACCCACAAGGATTGTGTTTAATTAAGTATGAAAAAAAATTAAACAATAGAAAAGAAAGAAACTTTAATTAAAAATAATAAAAGGAAAATAACAATTAAAATAAAACTAATCAAGATATGAGGTACTAACACATTGATTTCATCATAATCAATTAATATAAATTTTGAATTAATATGCTTCCAAAACCAATTTGTTGAGTGTTATTGCATGTGAAGGTGGATTTTCCTAAATTAACTAACTTTCTTAAGTCAAGTTAATCATCACTTATTTGTTGAATTAATCATATTTCTATACAATTTTAAACAAACTTATGAGCATCAAATTCTATGAAAACCTCTAACTTAGGAAGATGGAGCTCTTAACTCTCTTTTCTTCCTTCACTACCACATGTAACGCTAATTACTTTTCGGTTTCATAGTCTAACACATGGTTTGCATTATTATTGGTCTAATTTATGCAATTATTTCTTAAGTTCATACATAAATCACTAAATTAATTGAAAGATGATCAGATTTTCAATGCATTAAGTTCAACAATATAAATTTATCATGTGAATAATTTTAATTGAAAATATAAAAATAGAAAAATTTATATTAAATTCATTAGGTTATATTGTAAACTTAATAAAATAAATTAGTTCATAATAAAAATAATAAAATCTAAAATCATAATTATGAACATAAAAATATGAAGAATAAAACCCAATTTAAAGAAATTAAAATCCTTAATCTCCTATTGTTGATGAATCTCCTATTTTGATCTCTAAAAATACCCAAAAGATAGGT